CGATGCAAGGGCCTTGGACGCCCATTTCGAAGCTTTCCGAACGGGGCGCGGCCAGCGAAAGCGGCGAAGGATGGACCGAGGAGGCAAGGATGCAATGGGTACCCTTCGGAAGGTTGTCCATCCTTACTATGCGGGTTGACTGCAGCGATCCCTGCGCTTGGCGCGCGGTCGCCACACCCATGGATCGGGGGAGGTGCCCTCCCCAACAGGCGGCCGGCGCCGTCTCGTGCGGCGGCGCAGATCCGCGACTTCACGCGGGAACGGGGCCCGTCGTTAATCCACGCCCCCTTGATCCATGTTTGCGATCGCCTGATTCTGAGAAGGCCCGCCGCCTTCTGAGGAGGCCTGACCCCCGTCCCCTCACCCCCCGGGCCGCGCCGCCCCGAGATCGGGGGAGGGCAGGGGGCTGCGAATGGAAGGGGGCGGCAGGGGGCGGGAGGGAAGGAGAAGGGATGTGGAGCCCGGAGGGAGGAGAGGGAGAGAGGGACGGAGGAAGGCAGGTCGGGGGGGAACAGGAGAGGGAGAGAGGTCAGGGAGAAAGGGAACCAAAGAGGGGGAAGGATGGAGGAGGAAGAAGGGAGGGGCCAATGGGGGAAGCAGGGTCAGAGAGCAGGGAACGAGGGAATCAGGAGGGAACGAAGGAGGAGGGGAGGAAGGATGAGGCAGGAGGGAGGACGAGGATACGAACTCTGCGAGGAGGGACAGGAGAGGGAGGATGGAGAGGGAAGCGAGGAGGGAAGAGGTAGGAGAGGGGGACTGGAGAACGGAAGGGGTGCAGGAAACAGGGAGAACGAAGAAGAGTAAGAGAGAGGGAGGAGCAGGAGGAGGCGGAGGCGGAGACCGACGGTGGGGGAGAGGGAGAGGAAGAGGAGAAGCAGCAGCAGAAGAACAACGACGAACACGAAGACGAGGAGGGGGTAGTGAAGGAGAAGCAGCGGCAGTGGGAAAACCTACGAGGGGATTATGAACACGGCGGTTTTGTCGCGAGGACGACGACAGTGACGAGGATGGCACCAAGAGAAGAACAAATGGGGCAACTCTCAAAGAACACGATCGCATGGCGATCCGGAGAGAGAGAGGGAGAGAGAGAGAGAGAGAGAGAGAGAGAGAGAGACTGAGAGAGACTGAGAAACACATGCCTGCCGACGATCTCTGCCCACAGGGAGGCCAGACCAACTCCTGCACCGGAAGCGCTCCTCACAGGTCGGCGACGACCCTTCTGACGCAGGCGAGGAGGGCAGGGAGGCCAGGAGGTGGGCGGGGCCAAGGAGGGACGCAGCCGCAGACGCCGTCGGCGGCGACCCTCCCGACGCGGGCGAGGACGGGCAGGGAGGCGAGGAGGTGGGCGGGGCGGCGGAGGGACGCGGGACGCAGGCGCCAGGCGAGGAGGGCAGGCGCCGACGTGGGCGCTGCGGGGCGGCCGATGCAAAGGGCGGGGAGCCAGCCGGGCAGGAGCTGGGCGCGCCACGCGCCGTGCCCGGCGTCCCGCCCCCCCCCCGCCCTCCCGCGCCCAGGCCGCCTTGCCGCGGTGGCGCTGCCTGTGCCCTGCCCGCCGGCGGGCGCCACGGCGGGCCCGGAGCTCCAGCACGCGCCGTCGCTCGGACGTCCACCTCCCGTGCAGATATTTGTGGGCCTCGTGCGTGCTTTTTTTTTTTGGGGGGGGCTCGATGGTCCTCGATGGTCCTCGATGGTCCTCGCCGAGAAAGAGATGCACACGTCCAAGCGATGCCAAGAGAGAGGACGGCATCGTGCCACGCGCCATCGAAAAAGGGGGGGGGCGTACAGCGGAGGAGTCCTTGCCCTCCCTCTTGTCTCCTTTCCCTCTCCCGTTGCGCGCAGTTTAGGCCGCCGCTTAGTTTGCTGCGCCCTTGGACGCCGCCGAACTGCTCTCGGCGCGGTCGCGATCAAACAAAAAAATACACTGGAGGAGGAGGTGGCAGATGAACAGAAATTAACGGGCGAAGAACGGTATAAAATAAACTTTTTCGCTGTCGGGGGCGCCTGTCCCTGGGCGGCTGGAAAGTTTATACCCCTACGGTGCCACCGTAAGGGTATAAACTCTCCAGCCGCCCTGGGACAGGCGCCCCCGACAGCGACAAAGTTTACTTTATACCGTTCTTCGCCCGTTGAAGAAAGATGGGCAGGAGGACGAGGACTTTCCAGCCGCCCTTGGACAGGCGTCCCCGACAGCGAAAAAGTTTATTTCATACCGTTCTGCGCCCGTTGAAGAAAGATGGGCAGGAGGGCGAGAAGGCAGGAAGACGAGGAGGCACAGCAGCAGCAGGATCTGGAGTTTCGGGAGCGGCCAAGAGGGGGGTGTCCAAGAAGGGCGGGGTGCAAATCATGACCGGCGGCATGTGCGCGGCCCAGCGGGGGGGCCTGGGACGTAATGAAATAAGAAGAGGCGCCACGAAATCTGAGGAAAAGTCATGGCCCGAGCCATGAAATCCACCCCCCCTCAGTCATCACCCCCCTCTTTTCCGCTCCCGAGAGCTGGCGCAGCGGCAGGAGCAGGACGACCAGAGGGCGGCGGGTGAGGCGACAAAGGAGCGGGGCGGCAACGGCGAGGCGGCCTTCGGCTGCGGAGGGTGGCCGGACGCGGGGGCGAGAGCGCCACTCTGAGCGGTGGGAGCACCACGCCGATCCTAAAATTTGATTTGGACACCCGAAATGGGTACCGAAAGAATGGGTACAATGCCCAACAACAAATGTTGTCCCAAACCAACAGCGGCCGCTGTTGGGCAGGCGGCCTTCTGTCTCGAATGGACACAGGCCGCGGCGGCGTGGACAGCGAATCCTGTTCAGAATGAACAAGAACTGCTGTTGGGCATCGTACCCATTCTTTCCGTGCCCATCTCGGGCGTCCAGATTTGAGCAGGGGCCGACCGTCCCAGCAGTCCTATAGTCCTACCACGAAATGTTCTCAGAAGTTCTTAGAACCCCACAGTGTTCTTAGAACATACACCCGACGTGTCAAACAAAGACAATCTCAACCAGACATGTTCTAAGGACATTTCGTGGAAAGCACGAAAGGTTCTTAGAACATTGTCTGGTAGGGTTATAGGCGAGCCAAGACGCTCCGCCACTGCTTGAAATATGAGGCCCACGCTGCAGCGGCGGTACCCATTTGAGACGCCGGCAACGTTCCGATTGAAAAAACATGGGAAGTATCCAATAATGAAATCCGTTGTAAAGCAATACGCGGAGGGGGACAGGCGACTCCGCGGCCATCTTCAGGGGACAGAGGAGAGAAGTACTCTATTTAGAGCGCTTGGTGAGGACAGCGAAGATGTGAGGGAGGGTAGGAGCCAGGAGTGGGGGGGAGAGGGGACAGAGGAAAGGGGAGGGGCCTGAACCAGGATGGCTACGTGGCCTCGCAGTGCTATGGCGTAATCATGGCAACTCACGTTCTCAACCTCTGTGTCAGAGACCTGCGCAAGACACAGGCGCGCAAGAGGAGGATGCGGAGGAGGTGAAGGCGGAGGAGGAGGAGGAGCAATAGGACGACAAAGAAGACTTGCCGCAATCGGACTTGCCTGCCTCCGCTTGACTTGCATCCCCATTGACACCCAGCACGGACAATTCGAGGATGCGAGGCTGGCAAGATCGACCTTCGGAGGAGGAGGAGGAGGAGGAGAGGGGGGAATGCGGATCGACCCGCGGCGGATGAAGGAGGGGGGGGGGAGGGGGAAGAGGGATGGATGGGGGGAGGGGAGAGGGTGACGGAGGAGGGAGGGAGGGAGGGAGTCCCTCCCCCCCCTCCACCTCCCCCTCCCACTCCTCCCTGCTATCCCTCCCCCCCTGCCGGCGGCGGCGGGCACTCCGAGGGGGCAGGGGGGGGGGCGGAGCGGAGCTCCGCGGGCGCGCGCGCGGCCCGCCTGCCCGGGGCCCGGGGCCGGCTGCGGCCCGGCGGTGCCTGCCAGCCCCGTCGGTCGCTCCTCGTCCTCCTCCGCCGCTGCCTCCGCCGCTTTCTCCGCATTTTCCTCCTCGGTCGCTCCTCCTCCTCCTCCTCCTCCTCCTCCTCCTCCTCCTCCTCCTCCTCCTCCTCCTCCTCCTCGTTCTCCTCCTCCTGCCTCCGCCGCTGCATCCTCCCTCATTGTTGGTGGCCCCCAAGGGGGCTCCAGCTGAAAGTGGGTGGTGCAACAGATTTGGGGCAACGGTGTAGCAGATGCACTGCGCCGGAGCGTTGTGCTGCACTGCATTGCAGGTCTGTAACGTATTGCACGCGACAGCCCAGCAATACATGTGCGCCCCGGAATGTATTGCCCGCCCAAAATGTATTGCAACCCCACTAATCTATTGCAGCACATCTATTGCACCGCCCTCTTGTCGCTGGACCCCCTTTTGGGTCAACCCGATCGTTCTCCTCCTCCCCCTCCTCCGGGACCCACACGGGCAGACTGGTGCTACATGTCCTCCTCGGGAGGCGTGCGTCCGACCCGAGCATATCGTATAACCATCTTGCAGTACATCGTCCGCCAAGCGGTATGGCGAGAAGGCGCCCGCCACGGAGCTTGTACTACAGGATTTCTCGGCGCGCGCACGTCGCCACTGGGGGGGGGGGCGACGCACACATAGCCTTAGTATGTTGGGGTGACGCCGATCCCCCTTCGTCTGCTTCTCCTCCGGCTCATCCTGCTCCTCCTGCGAATCCTCCTCATACTGCTCATAGCTCATAGCTCATAGCCAAAATCTTCCCTCCCCTGAGCTCTGAGCGCTGACGGCATGAGTATCCGTGCTGAATGCTGCCACCCCTCCCCCAACTCCTGCTCATCCTCCTCCGCCGCCCAGGACCGAACATCGGCGGCAAGCGAGGAAAGAAAATACGAAGGAGAAGAATTTCTCAGAGGGCGACGGGGCTTCTCGGAAGGCCTCCGTCCTTCTGAGAGTTTCTCTGCGTCTTCGGGGAAGGCTCAGCAAACTTCTCAGAAGGCCAGGGGACTTCCGAGCCTCCTGAGAAGGCCCGCCCCTTCTCCCTTCCCCCCTGGGCTCGCCGCCGAGAAAAATCATCGCTGGAGCGTGCAGAGCGAGAACGATGACTAGTGCTGGTTCGGGCTCCCCCGTACCTGCATGTATGCAGTTCAGGAGCACCCCTCCCACTGATGTGCATGCATGCAGGTTTGGGGGGGGCATTCTTCCGCGGGAGTCTAAGACAAACACACCCCTCTGCGAAAACTTGTCATTAATTCCTTTGAGTGTGTCGTCCAAACTGTGCAATCGAGTAATCGAGTCGTGGTACTGACAACCATGACGATAATGGTTGCGATGAAAGTAATATTTCATGATGATGACGACGATTATGATGATGATGATGGTGATGATGATGATGAGGTGGATGAGGACAATGATGATGATGATGATGATGATGATGATGATGATGATGATGATGATGATGATGATGATGATGATGTTGGTGATGATGATGACGATGGGCGGGATGATGCTGATGACGGTGGATGGTGGATGGTGAAGGTCATGACGATAAACACCATGATGGCGTTGGCGGTACTGCCGGAGACGGAGGTGATGATGGCTATGGTACATACCAGTCGCGTGGCGGAGGGAGCGCACCAGGAGGGAACGCTCACGAAGACCTCCGCATGGCAACGTCTCTGCACGACGCTTCCTTCGCCGTCGACTTGGCGTCGGCCCCCCACCCCCGCCCAGGGGCCTGGGGCCAGAAAGAAGGGCGACAGACAGACAGACAGACAGACAGACAGACGCCATGCACAACATAGGTGCGTTGGCAGAAGATGTGAGACATACTAGACAATTGGGTGAAACGGCAAGCGTGCTAAGCATAGGAGGAGGAGGAGGAGGAGGAGGAGGAGGAGGAGGAGGAGGAGGAGGAGGAGGAGGAGGAAGGGGACTGAACAGCTAAAACCCTCGACCAACGAGCCTCGGTCCCCGATCTCGCCCCCGATGTTGCGTCGGGCCCCTGCGCGAGAGGTCCGGCCTCCCGAGAGGGCGGGCCTCCGTGGAGCTCGCGAGGGCCTGGGTGTGCCTCCGAGAGGGCTTCCTGGAAGCCGGGAGGGCTCTCCTGGGAAGCCCCGCTCCCGCCTGGTGAGCGTTTCCTTAGACGGTGCTCCGACATTGCGCGGAAGGGGGGGGGTCTGGCTCCGGACCTCTGCTTGCTGCGACTGTTTGCAACAGTGCGTCCTATGAGGGGAGACTCCCCCTGCTCGAAACAAGCGCCCCCAACCGCCAAGATCTATACTCCATGGGGGGTGAAGGGGGGCGGGGGGCGAGGACCCGCGCCGATCGCCAAAACAATGAATAAGAACACGCTCGCCTTCTTACAAGCCCCCCCTGCCTGCTCAGAAGGCCGACCTCCTTGCGCCACCCCCCCTGTGCGCGCCGCTCGGCCACGCGGCGAGTTCGCGTCATGCCGACCCCGGCACGGGTTCCTGACACTGACTGCAGGGATCGTTCAAAACTTGAACGGTTGGCCGCTTCAGAAGCGCCCCATCGTTCAACGATCGGCCCATTCTGGGCCACGGGCGGCGTTAGGGGCCTCCTGGATGATGGGGTCCAAGTAGACGGGGTCGAAGGATCGCGCCGCATCGCTGATGCACCCCGATGCATCGGCGATGCATCGGCGACGTCGGCGATGCCTCGGCGACGTCGGCGTGTGGAAACACGGTCTCCGCATCGAGCCGCATCGTCGATGCATCGGCGATGCGGCGCGATCTACCGACCACACCTACTCCGACCCCATCTGGGAGGCCTAGAGACGTTCAACCTTAAACGCCCGCGCTGGGGTCGCCGCTGGTCGACACGATGCAAACCTCCCGTACGCCCAAGAGTGACCCTGAGCTTGAACGAAAAATTAGATATAGACAAAGCAAGAACAAAAAAATGAAAAATGGTAGAACAATCGTCCCCAAACTATTTCCCAACCATCCTGTGGTGCTGGGTTCTCGCTTTGAAGAGACAGCGCCCCGCGTCACCCCCCTCCTCTCATCCTCCCCCTCCTCCCTCCTCCCTGCGCTTCACCCACCCAGTACAGCGTTTCGTAGCCCCATAGGGAGCTCCACCGAAGGTCCCAATGGCGCAGCCCGCATGCGTCACGCACACGCATTTCGGCACACCCCTCACACGCTTCGTAGCCACCTAGGGAGCTCCACCGAAGGCCCCAGCGGCGCAGCCCGCATGCGTCACGCACACGCATTTCGGCACACCCCTCACACGCTTCTTGCCCCTTCTGGAGCTTCACCGAAGGTGCCAGTGGCGCAGCCCGCATGCGTCACGCACACCCATTTCGGCCCACCCCTCACACGCTTCTTGGCCCCATGGAGAGCTCCACCGAAGGTGCCAGTGGCGCAGCCCGCATGCGTCACGCACACCCATTTCGGCCCACCCCTCACACGCTTCTTGGCCCCATGGGGAGCTCCACCGACGGTCCCAGTGGCGCAGCCCGCATGCGTCACGCACATTCATGTCGGCACACCCCGCGGCTGGTTCCACCGAGAGATCCAGTGGCGCCGCCCGCGGTTGTGAGGAGGAGGAGGAGGAGGAGGACGAGGACGAGGACGAGGACGACGACGACCGACGATATGGATAGCTCCACCGAAGGCCCCAGTGGCGACGTTCTGACGGTGGGGTTAGCTCTGTGCGTGGCTGCGATGTGTAATCCAGCTGCTGCGCCTCACTGACAGCGTTCCAGCGGCGCTCGAAGCATCGTCCGGAGTTCTCGCCAGAGGCCTGAGTTACTGGCGTTATTGCCAAAAAGTTGCTGAGGCCGTCAGATTCCGGAGGAGGACGAAAAGAGTAGGCTGAGGAGGAACGGAGGAGGAGGAGGAGGAGGAGGAGGAGGAGGCCGGAGGAGGGGGAGAGGGAGGGGGACGAGGATTATGATAATGATGATGAGGAGAAGGAGGCAGCCTCGCCCTCCTCTGGTACGAAAGTGGCAATCACGATGACGATGACGATCACGATGATGATGATGATGATGATGATGATGATGATGATGATGATGATGATGATGATGATGATGATGATGATGATGATGATGTTGACGACGATGATGATGATGATGTTGATGATGACGACGACGACGATGACGATGATGATTATGATACGGACGATGATGATGATGCTGATGATGATGATGATGACGATGACGATTACGGCACGACGATGACAATGAGGAATGTGTTGAATATGCGGATTATGATTACGACGATGATGATGATGACCACGATGATGACGACGATGATGGTGATGATAATGTCGACGATGGTGTCGGCGATGATGATGACGATCATGATGCTGCGGATTATGATGATGGCGACGACGGTGGCAATGATGATGATGATGACGATGATGATGCTGCTGCTGATGATGACGAAGAGGAGGAGGAGGAGGAGGAGGAGGAGGAGGAGCAGGAGGAGGATGAGGGGTCGGGCCACAAGGAGGAGGAAGACGGGGATGCGGAGGATGAGGTCGGGTTCCTTCCAAGATCAATCCAGCGACCAGTCCTCCACGCCCCCGTCAAAATCCAAAAGGGAGAGCGAGAGAGAGAGAGACAGAGAGTGACACACAGGTGGTTCGGCAACTGCTTCGGCTCGAGCGCGGGGATCCAGTACCAGCGCGGGACCCCCCCCCACCGGACGACCCCCGCTCGTTGCCGGAACTCCGTCGAGGACGGCGGGCACGAGTCGGGGGGACTCCTGGTGCGAGCCCGGGGCTCCAGCGCCAGCGCGCCGGCCGCGCAATGAGCTGTGCCGACGTCACAGAGGGATCCGCATTACGTCCGTGCACTGGTTTGTTGCTGCGCCGAGAAGAATATGCGGCCAGTTACGGTGCGCTCCGTGGTCTTCAGGAGCACGATGCGGCGAGCACAGCAGCGAAAGCGTGTCTCAACCAAGACTTCCACTTCAAAAAATACATCACAGCGCAGGGTACCAAAGCGCACCCAGGTCGATGTAACCTCGGTTCTGAAAGTCCGCAAGCTCAACCGCGAAGAGGTGGACTACACCACGAAGCTGCTGCAGAGAGTCTCCACGATTCTCCGCTCTGATAGCGTCGGCAAGCGCTTCTTATGCTTCACGGTCGCTTTGACAAATTCTAGGGAATTCGCTGACTACCTCGACGAGCACACGAAAAGGTCTCACCAGCCTCCGCGGCAGCAGGGCCCTCCACCTGGCCCTCGACTCCACTGGGGAGCCATTCGCTGACGCCTTCGACAAGAGATCTTGGTTTCTGTCAGCGGAGGAAAAACAGAACAGGAAAAACTTTCCCGCCTGGCGACAGTGGCCAAAATCGAGTCGGGTCGCACCGTGAACCTCAAAAGGGGAGCTCCGCCGGCAGATGTGCATCGTCAGCCGGGTTAAGAACGGCGCTTTGCTCGGCAAGAACGCACTGGCATTCCTCACGCTGAGTACCGACGCGCGCGGCATGAAGCGAGAGGGGGGGGGCCTCCCTGGGCCTGGGGCCTACTCTGGGTACAGTTTCGTCTTCGGCAAGGCCCTCGGCGTGCTCGGGGCCTCGACCACGGCTGGCGTGCTCGCCGAAGAGTTCCAAACAACGGTTCAGGAGCACGACGAACTCAGGGCCAGGTGGAAGCTCCTCAGTAAGGAGTACTGGTCGAATGCGGCCACTGCCAGTTTGCCCCTCGAGGTGAGCTTCTGTAAGCGGTTTGCTTACCAGCTGGACTCTTGGGTGAAGGCGGACCACTTGCGAACGCAATTCCGCTGCTGCGGATTCTCCAAAATCGGCAACATCGCTTGCAATAACCAAGGCCGCTTCCGAACCCGCGCTGTGCAGCCCCCAGGAGAGCTCGCAGACGACGACGACGCCGACGCCTTCGACGCCCTCCGGGAGGCAGACTCAGAGACGGCCGACGACAAGCACGTTCTGCGTCAGGTCATCGAGAGGCTCGACGAGATCGGCGGTAATGGCGCTCCTAGGCGGGCAAGGGCACGTGTGCCAGCGGCAACCGGCAAGCCGAGCTAGCGGCCTTCCTCTAGCTAAGGCGGAGCTCAATGGCACCTCACGGCGTCCGGCCAGGCCAGCAGCTGCCACCGCCCCGACTTCTGCCACTGCCGCAGCAGCAGGCGATGTTTCATCCTTGCCAGCGCCAGCAGGCGATGGCCCAGCAGCGACAACGTGCGATTGAGGAGGCCCAGGCGAGCGCGCGTCGAAGGCACCCCCCCCAAGAGAAAAACCGGGAGCAGCACGGCGTTGCGCGGCATGGTGCGATGGCGCAGCGTGGCATGCAGCAGGCCCAGCAACCGCCACCGCCACCCCCGCTGCAGGCCCAGCAGCGCCCCCGCCGGCGACCCGGGCGCCAGCGACGGACGCGACCGGGCCGAGCGTGGAGGCCGCCGGGGGCTCGCCGGCGCGCGCGAGCCTCACGCAGCCCGCGACCAAGCGAGCAAGAACGGGGGCGTAGACCTCCTCGCCGCGCCGCAAAGCCGGCCGCGCCTGCGATGCACCCCTGCGGGGCCGTCCGCCGACCCCAAGTAGCTCTGCCTCGCTGGCCCTGGGGGATGCGAATTCGGATGAGGGCGGTTCCTTTTCAAAATGTGGTTGTCGCCTTAGCGCCGCGCACATGTTTGTTAAACAATTGCAGGAGTTTCATGGATTCCCACGATCGGCGTACCAAAAGAAGGTTGGACGGATTTACGAGCACGGGGGCGCAACAGTTACGATGATTCGCGGTGTTGAATTCCCAGGCATGGCGTTCTAGCACGATTCAGGATCCTCAAGACGCAGCAGTCAGGTTTATCCATGGCGTTGAAATACCGAGAATAAAATTCCCAACCATCTTGTGGTGTTGGGTCCTCGATTTGACGAAACAACGCCCCGCGTCACTCCCTTCCTCTCCTCTCCCCTCCTCTTCTCATCATCATCGCCATCATCACAACTCATCGTTATCCTCATCCTCATCCTCATCCTCATCATCACCACCACCACCACCATCATCATCATCAGCATCATCATCACCATCACCACCACCACCACCACCACCATCATCATCATCATCATCATCATCATCATCATCATCATCAGCATCATCATCATCATCATCATCATCTTCACCATCATCATTAGCATCATCATCATCATCACCATCATCATCACCATCACCATCACCATCATCATCACCACCATCATCATCACCATCACCATCACCATCACCATCACAATCATCATCACCATCATCATCATCATCATCAGCATCATCATCATCGTCGTCGTCATCATCGTCGTCGTCACACCCATTTTGGCACACCACTCACACGTTTCGTGGCCCCATGGGGAGCTCCACCGAAGGTCCCAGTGGCGCAGCCTGCATGCATTACGCACACCCATTTCGGCACACCCCTCACAAGCTTCGTCGTGGCCCCATAAGGAGCTCCGCCGAAGGTGCCACTGGCGCAACCCGCATGCGTCACGCACACCCATTTCGGCACACCCCTACGGTTTTGGGCCCCATAGGGAGCTCCACCGAAGGTCTCAGTGGCGCAGCCCGCATGCGTCACGCACAGCAATTTCGGGACACCCCTCACACGTTTCGTGGCCCCATAGGGAGCTCCACCCAAAGCCCTAGCGGCGCAGCCCGCATGCGTCACGCACACTTCTCAGAAGGCTCGGAAGTCCCCTGGCCTGCTGAGAAGTTTTCTAAGCCTTCCCCGGAGACGCAAAAAGCTTCTCGGAAGGCGCGAGGACCCCTGAGAAGTCCCGCCGTCTTCTGAGAAGGCCTTCTCCTTCTCATTACCCCTCCTTGCTCACCGCCGAGTCTGGAGGTCGGACAGGGGTATGGCAGAAAGGGGTGTGGTGCCAATCGTGGAAATCGAGATGCGATCTGCGAGAGATGGCATCGCCAGACTCAACACTGGCACCATACCCCTTTATGCCACAACCCTTTCCTACCTACATCGGCTACACACAAGAGTGACCCTAGGTAAGAGTGACCTTTGGTGCGCGGACTGAGGGGGCGCAAGGTGGCCAAGTCCAAGCGCGCAAGCAGCCAGTATCGCATCGCGCTCAGCGATCGGGGAAACCCCGGTGAGCCCGCACCAAGGGTCGCTCCGGCGAAAGGTCACTCTTACGAGTAGTCGACTACAGAGAGATCGGCTAGGCGTAAGAGTGACCCTGGGTAAGAGTGACCTTTGGTGCGCATCTTTGGGGGGCGCCAGGGAGCCAAACCCAAGGGCGCGGGGCGCTTATGTCGCAGCGCGCTCGGCAATCGGGGGGAACCCCGGTGAGCCCGCACCAAGGATCACTCCGGCGAAAGGTCACTCTTACGTGTAGTCGACTACAGAGGGAGGAGGGGCAGGCGAGGAGTGCGCGCCGCCAACCTCCCAGCCCACGCCTGGGGGTCGAGGCTGCGCCCCCGCTGGTGGGCGCCCCGCGCCGGGGCCCTGCGCGCGCGCGCCCGCCCGCTCGCGGCAGCTTCGTCGTCCTCGTCCACCTCCTCGACCTCCTCAACCTCCTCGACCTCCTCCTCCTCCTCGTCCTCGTCGTCCTCCGCCCCCTCCTCCTCGTCCTCC